ATTCCAAAAAAAAAAAAGAGAAAAGAAAACTGAGCTGTGACGTGGCAGGCCGAGTGACCGAAACCCAGATGAAATAGTTGGGAGAAATTACCACGGATGAAGAAGAGAAGTAGTAATAATAGGATATGCCACCGGAAACCGCCGCAATAGCTCCAAAGGGGATACGGAAATTGGGGAAAGTAGACTTGGATTGGGCTAGAAAAGCTCCATTGAATGCGATCATCGGTGCAGCCTTCGTTGCCAATTTCTTCAATAACGCTGCCATTTCTTTCTTCTTTTCTTCTTCAGGGCCGCCCTTTCTAGACTTTGCGGTAGCAGCAGTACTGAGGTGAATGGTAGTCGTAGTGACTGCTAGAAGAGGCTGAACCTAGGATGGCAGAGTTGGAAATCTCCGACCTCCGGCGGAGAATGTATCTGGTGGGCTCGGGTTGACAAGGATTCTGCTTACAACCGACACGCTGGTGTCTGATGTGGTAATGGTTATGGATTTCTGGTTTTGTTTTGGCAACCTCAACCTCTTATTGTTAGTATTCTGTATTCAGAAAGAAAGTTGGGCTTTTCTTTCTTTTGGTTGGGAAGAAAAAACAAGGAACCGAATTATTTGACCAACCTGAAAATGGTTCGTGTTGCTTTGCTTTCCATTTTTTTTCCTTTTCTTTTTCATAAGTGGTCGAGGATGTAAGGAAACTTTTTTGTTTACGATAAAAGATGCAAGAAAACTTGTTTGGCAGACAAGCTTTTTGCCAAGATTAACCTCAAACAACTTCTCAAAATTTTTAAACTATACATTTCAAAATATTCAAAAAAAACACACTACAAAATTTTTTAAAAAAACTTCTACAGTAAGTTACAATAAAGTTTTAGACAAACACTCAAAAAACTCACTTACCAAACGAGTTCAATTAAATTTTTATACAATGCCATTTTTACCTATTAAACAGCCAATTAGTTATTTGAATAGATGAGCAAATTTGAAAATTACACATATGCTACTTACTTTTTTCTACTTCCATTCAATGTGCTACTTATCTTTTTTGCTCCCAAACAATTCAAAATTCAATTCTAATAGTATTTTGTCTTCCCTTCTTCTTTTCTTTTTTTTTTTTTTTTAAACTCACCTCAACTCCCAAACTAAGCATAAAAGGATCCTAACAAACAGTACCGTAAATAGTGTGTTATGCACAATTAAATCGCTTTTTTTCTTCCTTTCTTATAGCCAACTAAATTGTATTTTTCATTCAGCATTAACAAGGATTACATCTACAAATGATTCTAGTTTCCGGCGAGTCAGAAACTAACAAATTAAAATTGAGCTTGAGCCATTTGAGTGCATTGTAAAAGTGAGTTCAACTTAATATGTTAATGTGTGCTGCAGCTGAAAAGTGTCTGCTACTACAAGCTCAAGCAAGTCCAAGTGCTAAATGCTTTTTCACCTATGTTGCCTATTATTACTAATGAAATAGGATGAACTGATAATACAGAACCTCTAGGCGTTACCTTTCGTTCGTTTAATACTAGAATCGACAATTGAAACATAATATCTGAGCTTGCATTAATCGAAAATATGCGACAAAGGGATTGTGCTATTTAAAAACCTCACATTCAAGAAGCGTAGGTTTTTTTTGAAAAAAAAAAAAAGAACATTCGTGTCTCTTTTATAAGACTGATGGAAATGAAAAATAAAGCAAAAAAAAAAAAAAAAAATCAAACCGCATATCCCCATAATAGGAAAATGTCTTGGGTCGAATTTGACTATTTTTTCTTCTACAACATCTTGACATGACATGAGCTTGAAGGGTTCAAGAATCAATTTTCCTTTTTATGAGGGCTAGAATCACTGATTTTAGTTTTTTTTTACCCCATCTTGTAGGATGGATCTCGAAGGTGAACTTAGTCAAATTCGTTTGAGTTTGAGTCGTTGAATAAGCGTCCTCAAATTAGACGAGCTAAACATTCGGCTTGGTATTCTGAAGTTGGCATGTTGCAATCTTTTGCATCAATACCACTTTATAAGATATGCCGAATGAATGACCGTCATTTAGCAAATTTGTTTGAGTCCGACGGTGAAATGGAATTGGTGCAGTGTAATAGAAGATCCTGGTGATTAAGGCTTGGTAAAAAGGTCTAATTCCCAGTCATTTGCGAGCATTAGGAGCCACCAGGCAGGTACACATCACTGAACAATACTGCTGTTGCATCAATGCAGCATGATATGATCGCCTGTACGAGAGGCCTTGCATCATATGTTGGTTGATCTTCAGGAATTTGATATTATTCTCAAAAGGAACTGCTCTTTCACTCAAAAATCAACGTCAATTGCCATTCGCAATTGAGAAGAACGCGACTACTGGAATCCTTTTGGCTTTTTGGACATCAACTTGCGCATGGAAAGGTGACATATTTTCTTTCGTCATCAAGAAAAATGGTGTAACATCAGAAGGGAACTCATCCCGTGGCCGTGTCGCACTGATGTGGGCGCAGATGAATTTGCTGCGTCTCAACAACAAACATTTTTCTCCATAATAATTTTTGTACTACAGGAAATACAAAAAAGGGTAAATTCTATCCTCTACCATGTGTCCATAGCTTACAGATTTAAGCCATTTTCACTCTCGTCCGAAATCTGGATAGCCTTGGGACCAAGAAAACCGGACTAAAAATCATCCACTCTTTAGCGAGAAAAACAAAAGCCCGAGTAAACTGTTGATCGAGGGCACTTCTTTGAGCTCTTTGACGTGTGCCTCCGTAGCTATCCATCTACATGTGCAGGACAAAATTTGCTCACAGAACCTTAAAAGGTGGTTATCATTTTGGTGCTGAAACTATTTAACCTGTAGAGCCAAATAGACGGGAAAAAAATCTGCATGCTGTAATTTTGGGCTCCTTTTAACAGCGGATACTAGTTTTGTTTCTTTCTCATCATGTAACAACAATTATTGTCACACTTTTGAAAGGATGACTTGCTAATAATACTGGAGCAAAATTGACAGCTCTGCCCATGTGGAATATTTTTCTGATTTTGGAACCCACGTATCAAGATTAAAATTTTCAAATAGCTTTCTATTGAATGGCAGAAAATGGTGCAGAAAATGATAGCGTGACAATCATGTTGGACGGACTCCGTGTAAATGGTCATGATGAGACAATAAGTTCAACACGTATAAACAATATTCTGCTGAACCAGACACCAGCAGGTCCTGCACCCTCCATCACTAGCCAGCGGCTTTTCTAGATCCTTCACCCTTGTGATATCGAACTACCACTCTCACAAAGATCCTTGTTGGTTCTGGCTTTGTAGCCCGACCATACATCCAGTGGAATTGAGGTCTGGTTTCAAAAAAAGCTTCGAACATATTGCAAGTAATCCGTCTTCCCAAATTGATACACAACTTCTCTTGAAGCCGGTCGTGATTTTGCTATATCAGTTGGAGAAATCAAATTAAATTCCCAAGTACGAGTAGGATTCATTACTTTGTGAGCTGAGTAGAATGAACAGTCTTGAAAAATTTGCTAGCTTCAAAGATGGATCTGGCTTTGCAGCTGAAAGTGCAAATGGCACAGCAAGTAACGATATTGCCTTCTATATTCGTTGGTGAAGTTAATGTCGGCAGGAGTAGGAGTAGGAGTAGGACCAATTATAGGAAAAAATTTAGTCCACTGGCCATCCAAGTGCCTTTTTCATCATTGCCAGCGGAAGAGGGTGGAAATCTGACAGAATTCAAAAGGATCACTGGCTCAGACACAGCTCTAACAAGATGCAAAGTACCTGATTCCTGGATGGGCCATGAGAATACTGTGGGAATCATTGGTGGCTTATCTGCTTCCTCAACAGCTATTTTCCTGGCAAAACTTGTTTGGGGGAGTTCAAGGAACGAGAAAGAATCCGTGCCTTTTATTGTCTGCAGTGACTCAACCATAAAGAGTGAGCTTTCCATGTATAGTACTCGCAGCAATGATTCTCGAATTCAATTGCATCGTGGAGTAATTATAGAGAATTTGAGATGCAAAATGGCATTTTTGGAGCAGTCTGGAGCACGATGTATTGTCATGCCATGCCATGTATCTCATGTCTGGTATAGAGAGATCTCCAATGGATGTTCAGTGACATTTCTCAATGCAGGAGACTGCGTTGCCAGTGAGCTCAAAGAAGCAAAACTAAAGCCACTTGAAGGTGGTAGTAAGGTGCGAGTTGGGGTGCTGGCAAGAGATACACCTTTGGTGGGAACTTTCTATCAGGAGAAGCTACAGCGTCAGGTAAATTGTCAGTTGCTGCAAAACAAAACAAAAAAAAAAATTCTGTCTCTGAGACGGATATTTTTGTAAGGAGTGACCAATATTTTCACAAGCAAAAAGTATCGTGTGGTGATTCTCTGGATTTTGCGGGATTGTTTCAACGGCGTCCCTACTTGACTATGAAGCATGCATACATCCTAATAATTTTTGAGCAGGAAGAGTGCAACTTGAGTAAAAATGTCAAAAGAAGGGGCAAATTTTGAGGTAAAATGCTAATGGGAATATTTGTTTCTGTTTCTCATGGTTGAGGTTTGTTTTCTCGCAGGGCTTTGAGGTTGTTTTACCAGATAATCCAACCACGGAGCACATAATAATTCCAGCATTCGAAGCACTGAACCAAAAGGACATAGAAGGGGCCAGAAATCTTTTAAGGGTTGCAATTCAGATTCTTCTGGTGAAGGCTGTCAACATCATTATACTAGCTGCTGATGAATTTCAAGGTCTTTTACCCGGCAGCGATCCTCTTCTCAAGAAATGCATTGACCCTCTGGATTCTTTGGCCAGATCAACTATCCAATGGGCGAGATCAACTAAAGATGGCATGGCACATAGAACTTGGTTAACAAATAAATAGCACAAGGAAATGAGCAACCTAGAGAAGAGATCGATGAAAAATGGCAATAAAGCTAGCTAAAGAACTCAGAGCCGAAAGGCAGTACATGTTCATGCCATTGCCATATAGATACTTGTCAGAGAACTGGAGAAAAGCGGTAATAGGAAAGTTCTCATTAAAGTTTCATTAAAGTTTTTAGCGGTTCAGAAATGTAATGCGATGTACGCAACACATGACATCTTAAAACTGCTATTTCTTTTACTAATGAAGCATTATGCCTCATGTCAAACATGCGTTCCAAAAGTTTCAGGGGGCTATCTTCTGCTTCCTTGAGGCGAAGTGGCCACCTGACTCGAAGCTTTCAGCACTCATCGCAATATGGTTTGGTTTAGTCGGTCGGGTTGCTCAAACAGCAAGCACTAGTAATCAGCTCGAGCACAATTATGATGACTCAAAACTTTGATGATTAGCATCCCAAAGCCAAAAAGGAAAGAACAAAATCCAAAGGTATCCGCCCAACCTATGGATTTCACACTGACTTCCACAAGTGAGGGTCAAAAACCTGTGCCCAAACTCAAAGAGAGTTAGGTTTAACAACACGAGTCGTGTAAACTTTTCTTTACAGATATTGTTCGAGGAAACGACATCGGACTGTCGGAAGTATAATTAGGAAAGCAGCAATAGCAACGAAAAATGCAAGCTATGCCAGAAATTAAAGAATGACAACACAATGCGATTTGTACTAAGATCTATTGCAATAAAACCCGTCAATCTATCTGCATTGCCAAAATCACATGCTTTTTGCCAGTAAACTTCATCAGTATTTATTTATTACATGTAATTGTACATCAGTAAGGCAACAAGCGGATTTCTCTTTGTTTTATTTTATGTAGTACAACGATGGTACGATACAATTCACATTTTCGACTCCTAAAACCCTCTATTCATTCTGAAAATTTGGGAATTCCCAGGAAAGAGAAGATAACGGGTCGCATTAAAAATAAAAAATTTGGTACAGGATTGAAGAAACTATAAACTGGAGAGAGAACTACCAGGTTGTTTACTATGCGTTTCTGCCCCATTCACCACAACTTGATTGGCCCAGGAAGAAATGAGATGATGAGCAATAGCGAAGGGTCCAGGGATGAACATCGAAGCAAGTTCCCCACTTTCCACACTAAAGTCCGCAGATAGGTTCTGTCCTTTCTCAACTCCCTTGCATATTTGGTCCACTCTATCTGCTGCAGTTCTTTGTGCCTTCTTGTATTCAGCAAAAGGCAGTGCCTTTTTAACATCTTCTCTACTATGCCATTTTGCATCTAGACAACCAAAATTTTTCTCGATTACTACTACATCCAAAAAAGACTAAAGTACGACTCCATTCAGATTACTACTACATCTAAAAATGACAAAAGTATCACTTCCTTTCACAAAATTCAGCGAGGGCAGGTACAAAAATCAAACTGAACGAGTTTTTCTTTAGGCGAGACACACATGTATTGGTATCTCAAGGGTTTTCAAGGCTGTGATAAAATTAAACAATGTCAGCACATTTTCTACAAATTCAAGAGCATCTAGAAAATGTTTTTAAGAGGACAACAAAACTGGAAAGCAATGGCACAACATGAAGAAAGTACCTTCCAGCTCTTCCTTGTCCACATTAATTTCAAGTGATTTAGCGTAAGCAAAGAACCCTACCATAAGCTGACATGGGATGCCACTTGGTCCAACTGCAAATAAACCATGCAAAGAGAGCACACATATTAGGAAAAGCACATGATTCTGGTCAGATGGAAGTAGGCTAGATGCTGAGGTGATAATTTGAACAGCATTCACTAACTGTCCGCCAGTTGATTGACTGAAGTTCACTGATACTTCATTACAACTACAGGCTCTGAAAGAGGTTCATCAAATACTATCTGGAAAGCTCGATAAACAGATGTAACATCTCATTTTAGAAAGGTAACTTCATTATGCAATGTAAACCAAATTAACATGCTATCCAAAAGTAAATCAAAGCACGTCAGCAGAAAGTCCATTTTGAAAGTCTTAATAAGGTAATATGAGCATACAATGCACACATGCGTGAGCTAATAGAATATGAAGGACCTGCTTCATACTTACGCAAGCATTTCCGAGCATATCTACATGCAAAAAATGTTTTAACTTTTAACTGCTACAGCACCCCTCCCCACCAAAAAAAAAAGAAAGGAAAAGAAAAGGAAGGAGAGAGAGAGAGAGAGAGAGAGATGCAAGTCATAACACAACATCAATAAGTAGAAGCATTCCAATTCTCAAGTAACTTGTGTAATTGTAACGAGTAGGGTAGTGCATATGCAAGGAAGATTAAGAAAGATGTCTTATTTTCACCAAGTACGCCTGGAAGAACAATATCATTGTCATTGTTTTTCCTTTTAAACAGAACTGAACATAAATTACTTCATGCATTTATATTAAATTCTTAGTCCATAATAAACTGACCATGTTTTCAAGCTTAACCTCTTTTGATCTCATGAATAAACCCGAACATATGTACAGTTAGAGCATGGCAGAATAAATATTACCAGGCCATGGCTGAGAACTATGATAGACGACTTCACCAACTTCAATCCCAGCTTCCTCCCACGTTTCTCTTCTAACAGCCTCTTCTAAGCTTTCTCCTGGCTAACAACAAATTTAAGGGGAGAAGGAATACAACGAAGGAAGAGCATGCAAAACATGGAAAGGTAATCAAATGCTGTGGATAACTGCAAATGAAGCATAACTAGTAGTGTTGACGCCTAGAAGATTACATCAATAAGTTAGTTAATTCACTTTTAGAAGGGAAACGTAATAGAAAACTACCAATGGCTACATTCTTGAATCATAAATTGACCTCAGAATGGTCATCTCAACATACCTCTATGAAACCAGCCAAGCAACTCCACATGCGAGGCACAAATCTTGACTGCCTACTAAGTAGAGCACGGTCATTCTCTTTATCAATGACTAACATAATGACAACCTGTGAAACAGAAGGATGGTCAGGGAAAACTATGGCTATCAGTTAATCTGGCACAATAACTGCCTTCCCTTACCTACAAAACTAGACAGTATAATATTGAGGGCAAACTATACGGTTATAACAGTTTCCCTGCACAAGAGGAAAAACTATAGAGCATAATACCGGATCAACTCGTGGATAAACCCTCCTTTTGCATAATTCATTTGAACAACTCTTTCGTCTACCAGCGTCCATGGGTACTGTTTTTGCTCCACAATATCCACAGAAACGTGATGAGGTATGCCACTCCAGTAAAGCTCTTGCCTGATTCAATGGAAACCAGATACTTTACATACAGTTATACAGGAAACAAGTTGCAATGATAACAAGCATCTTATAAGCACCAAAAGAAAAGGATGTATGAATTCTACGCATGCAAGTGGGACAAAAGATATGAGTGCTTAGAAAAAACCTAGTTAACTGCTTTAACAAAGCTTAAACTCTGAAATTTGCAAATTATGGTGGAACCAAATTTAAGTTCGTCCAGCAACTCCAGAAAAAGCTTAAACTCTGAAATTTGCACATTATGGTGGAACTTAATTCAAGTTCATCCAGTAACTGAAGCATAAAAGATATAGGTAACAGACCACTATTTCCAATTACAGTTAACAATCTAGACATCTACCCTGATAGTATCATGCTCCTGACATAAACCTCTCACCACTCTCTAATCTTGTCCAAATGATACAATGACATTATCCACTGTAGAGCTTGAAGTTAACCACTCAGCAATCCAAGAACATCCCTTAACACCTACTGGATTATCGGCGATTAAGATCTTACTCATATCTTGCTTACTGAGCTAAATAACAACATAGAAAGTTTAGAAAAAAAAAAAGAAGTACAGTGTTTTATACGACCCAAACCAGTATAAGGCATCTGAATTTTATCACCACCAAACGAGTTTCTCTATTGCTTCTTCACCTAACATAAGCTAAAAAGTATTTCCCTGTTTGGGGTTAACGAAATAACAGAACGACTGATACCTATAATACTTTATTGTAGAATTGTTTACCCTCTGCTTCTGGCAATACCATTAAAACATATTCATTGGAAAAGATTTGAACTTTCACACATCCCAAAAACCACATAATACAAATGCAACCCAAATCACCATTAAGTCCAAAGAATGAGGGGGAAGAGAAAAACCACACTTACATGACCAGCAACAGCAAGCTCACCCATCGCTTTAGCATCAATCCAGTCAGTAGCAACCATCAATGTCCTCAACTCCACAAAGCAAAACTGCCTGGCACCAAATTCACTCACAAGGCCGGTAGCCTCAGATACATCAATAGCCCAATAAACAACATCATCCTCGGCAGTGAAACCCAAGTAAACCAACGAATCTTCATTCAAATTCACCTCAGAATTCTCCAAAAAAGCCCTGCACTCACCCAGGCTCAACCAGCCCAAATGCCAGCTAGGCTTTCCACCGGAGCCAGAAGCATCGCATACCGAACCGGCCAAGGGCCTGCCCTTCCTGAAAGGCAAGACCTTGAAATCAGGAGAAGACGGCTCATGGGTGTGGCTCAAAAGAAGAGTCTTGAGGGTCTGGAAAGCTGAAGTAGGCGAAAAAGGGTCACTGGATTTTGGGGTATTTAGCCTTATGGGGTTGCCTGCAAAGGCATGAGAGTTGAGGTTGATGGACATGGTGGTGGAAAATTGAGAACAGGAATAGGGTTTTCTTGCCGTTTTAATGAGGGATAAATAGTGGAGAGAGAGGGTTTTTTTGGAGAGGGAAATGAAGTTGGAAGCTGCTATTGCTGCTCCGGCTGCTGAGGTAGAAGAGAGAGAGAGGAGGAAGAACATTTCTCCTCTTCTCTTGACTTCCTTGTTGGGGGCGTATCCATTTGGCTTTTTTCCCTTCGAAAGATCTCCCCTCCTGAGTGATGTGGTAAAATCTGGGAGTTAAGTTAGGTGGTGACTCTTGTCAGGTGACAGGTGGACTTTTTCTCTGCAGGTTTCACCTGTTGTCCTTTTTCGAGCACATGTTTTTTCGTTTTCTCTTATTTTGGTAGTATTTTTTATTTGCACCGTAATTATATTTTTTAATCAATTTTTATCTAATTTTTTTTTATTTTACATACATTTCATCACAAAAAATATTATAATAATTATTCTACATAATATTTCAAATAATCTTTTATCCAGATACACTCATTATGATCCATACCTAGGTTTTTTTGCAGATTGCTTCAATCGTTGATGAAGTGTAGAGAGTTTGAGTTCCAAATCAAGTATCTGAGTTTGATAACACTCAAACATTGTAATTATGCTTTGAAGGAATTTTGGACTTTAAATGCTTGAAATTTTAATGGGTTAAAAGCGTTAAACCCCCCATGAACCTTACCCTTGATTATATTTTACTTCCATCAATTCAATAAATAGGTACTTCGCCCCTTCTATTTTGTGTTTTAGGACAAAAATACCCTTTTCATATTAATTATTATTTTATTTATTTGTTATCCTCTTTCCTTGTTTCTACTTGTCCTTTTTCTTTATAAATTTTAATTTTTCTCCCTCCTCTCACATGATCAAATACTTTCTTCTCTTTACAATTATTATCTATATATTATTTTTAATTTTCTTAAACTTATTATTTATTTATTTCTATCTATCTTTTTTACTTTTTGCTATTGAAAGTAATAATTATCATAAAGTGTATGCTATAACAAAGTATATTATCTATGCGCATAGATTATTTTATAAATTATTTAAATCATGTCTAAAGTTTAGAATAAATTAATTTCTAATAACAACAGTAGCAAATTCGAATTGTAATAACATAGTGATTAATAAACAATACATAAAAGAGTAAAAAAATATTAGTTACTTTTTTGGACTATACTTTTAAATATTAAGTAATTTAAAGTTCCAATTTGCTAATATATTTTTAAATAGTTAAATTGCTAAATAATACACACTTTTTGATTATGACAGTCACATATATTATTTTTTATGCTATACAATTTGTTTTGAATTTTTTATAGTGTAAATAAATAAAATAGAAGTGATAGTATAATATAATTACAATATTACAATTAGCATACAAATTAGTAATACTAATAAGAAAGTGAAACAAAATAGTGACATAAGAGAAATGAAAAACAGTGAAAGAAAAAATAAAAGAAAGTAGTGGAAAGGGGAAAATGAGGGAATGAATAAAGAAAAACAAAACAAAACAAAATAGTAAGAGTACATTTGCCTTAAAATATCAAATAGAGGGGCAAGTTGCTTATTTAATGAGTTTAGGGGGACAAAGCACAATTAAGGATAAAATTCAGAGGAGTTTATTACATTTAACCCAATTTGAATTGCATGAATATTAACTATCTAATCAATGTTTTTACAACTTTTTAATGAGTCATGCGTATATGTAGTAAGAATCTTATAAAAAAAAAAAAAAGAAAGAAAGAAAGAAAGACTTTATAGTAAGAACTTGCATTTTGAGTAATGGGTGATTAATCAATATTCAGATTCTATTATCGAGTATTTCATCTTCTAGAAAATTCACATCTTCTCTACCAGTCAGTTTTTCCAACTTCTCTCTATTTCTTCTCTTAGTTTCAAGGTCGTCCGTTAGGGGGGGAGACTACGAAGAACATGGTGTGATCTCTTTTCCATGGATTTGGTTCTTTTTTTTTTTTTTATAGTAAAGTCTCTTTTAAATTTTCTTAATAAGAGTTTTTCATTTTTCCTAAGAATTTCTCGTGAGGTTCTTCTGTTCTTTCTGGGATTCCTATAGAAATTTTGTGTTTTTTTTTCTTATTTTATTGTTAGATCTAAATTTATTTTATATATGGTTGTCAGATCTAGATTTTTTGGATCTTGAATCTATTTTAATATATCTCATCATCATTATTGAACCTTAAAACCGTTGATTAGTAGATCTAGTGATTGTAATATGCACTAAAGGAAGCTGTAATGATTTATCTATTAGAAAACAATTGTAAAATTTATTTTATTTTTTAGATCTGTCAATAATTTTTCAAATATATTGTACCTATTAAATGGCATATCTGTAATTTCAAATTCATGTTTAATCTATTATTAGGGTAGTGATGTAAATTAAATGGTACTGGATAATTTTGTAGTGATGTAAATTAAATGGTATTGGATAATCTTCAATAATCTGTTAATGAAAATTTGCGTATATATTTTTATGAAGCATTGCATCCTCTAGAGGCATTTGAATAAAAAGGAAGCTATTTTTAGTCAAATCCATTATTAATTCCACCCTTTTGAGTGAAGTAGATTGGCTTAGGTTAAAATTTCAACTCGAGTAGTTATCACTGATTAAAAAATTTAAATTTTCAAGGATTTAGATTTTTACAGAAGCTTTTTTTTTTTTTTTTTTTATGTTTAATTGAAGCTGATGGCATTTAACTTCTTATCTACACAACAAAATGTTCTATTTGGACTGGGTTATTGGAAACGGAACACTACTAACTTCTAGGGCCTGACTTCATCAAGTCTAAAACCGAGAGTTTCCATTGAATCATCTAAAGTTGCTGCAACTTATAGAAAGATCATTAGAGCTTTCGTTTTTTGGAGTTAAAATACATGAACATCATAGGGATATTTCTAGAACAAAATTTCTAGATTTCAAGCTAAGTCAGAATGAGGAAAAGAGGAATTGTCTTGCAACTTTACTACAGAACTAGTGCACCGTAATCTAGTCTAATGCTATTGATAGTGTATACCACAGTTTCCACCATGTGCTATTTATCAGAATGCGCCTGTGTACTGCAATAAAAGCACGCTGTCAAAGAAAGGCTAACTCATCTAATTTGGAAAGAATATTTTAGTTGCATCATCAATACATTTTTTAATTACTTTTTTTTAATCTTTCAATCACCTTATTATCTTACGAATATTACATCACAAAATTGTTAGAAAAATGCTCAAAATTCTTTTCCTTGTTCTGCAAAGGGATGTTGAACAAACAAAGAAAAATCCTAAGATGATGAAATCAAACTTTGAAGATATGCTGCAGAGAAAAGATAACCATCAGCTCTTGCGGACACTGACTGTTCTGTTAAATGAAATTGCAGTCTAAAGCAACATCTCAAGAAGGTCGGGAAGACAATTTGGAAAGAATAATAGAATTGAATTTTCAGTCACTGTAAAGATTACTTTGTTCAGCTACAGACAACGGAATTCTCTTCTAGATACGAAACTGATCTTTCTGGTGAAGGGCAGAGTAATGCCAATGGGGATCATCAACTATTGTCATCATCCCATAAGGTTAAGGTATAAAGAGAAGAAAAGGGTATACTATAGATTTTACCACCCCGGTCGATTGTCTGGTAAATTTTAGTTAAAGCTTCAACTGCAGTTGAACTTTCGAACTTCAATTTTGGCAGCTGGAATGCCAAAGATTTACCGATCCTCAACTTCATTGGGAGAGCCATGAGGTGGAGTTTGATCATCAAGCCAATCAGCATAAATTTTGTTCATCTTCTTTTTCGGTCTCCACCATGAAAAGTTCTTATCCTGCATCACTTCTGGTACAGGAGCACCAACCTCTAAATTAGCAGCGGATGAGTCAAATACGGGAATAGAAACCGGCTTTGTTTGAAAAGGACTAGAATTCACCGTCACTTCAACATCAACTTGGGCAGTTGATACATTTAGTTCTGTCAAAAAGGAGAAAATTCGCAGACAAATCTTAGACTTCAGAGAGTTCGCAGAGAAAAATCACAGACAAATCTTAGACTTCAGAGAGTTGGCAAAGAATCAAGAACAGATAAAATTGCTTATGCTCATTAGATCAGAATTAAGTCTAATAAAATGAAGAAAACGAATCTATGCGGAACAAGAGGAATAGCGTAACTTCTGACGTGCTGCAATAGACTCCTACATATCAAAAAAAAAAATTTCGACTGGTCATAACTCCAACCATCACTATTGATGAACAGGTTAATGGAAAAGAGGAAAAAAAGACAACCAGCTTTGCTTTGGTACCCTTGGCTCTAATAATAACAATGACTTGCTCCAAACTAACAATTTCACCAATATCTGTCAGAAATTAATTGATTGTATAATCTACTATTAAGCATCAGCAAAAAGATGCTGCCTGCAATTATCAGCAGAGCAAAGACTCTCCTATGTCAAGTTGTCAACATAAAATGCAGACATGGTCAAGATTATGTTTCTGACTGTGGAGAACGATCCTCAAGTCATGGAAATTAAGACTGAAATCATTTTCAAGTAAAATTACATGCGGCTATGCACCTAAGCTATGGTCAGTGCCCGGAAAGGGGTGAGGTTTGTGGATTATTTCTAAAAAAGGCAACGACAACTCTACCCATTTTTTCCCTCACTATTCAGGCAAGTTATTAGAGATTGTTGATCTTACAAAATTTCTTTGACATAGGTTAGACTTAAAATTCTATTGCAGTCAAACAAACAATACAAGTCCTAGAATCGGTAAATCCTTGATCTACAGCTTGGATGAAGGGACTAGAAAACAGGAAGAGAAATCAGCTAATGGAACAGTAATTTTTCTTTTCCCAGCCCTTCGTGGAATCAAACTGAATGCAATGCCTTTCTGTTTAGCTTAGTGCAACAAGCAAGATGAGAAACAGAATAACGAATCTACAGGTAACAAAACAACAGAGGGAGAAAACATGATCAACTGAAAATTAAAATAAATAGCAACAGCTGTACCGGACTGCCCGTGGGCGAAATGACATCTTTCTCCAAAGGGGCAGCGACCTGTTATCTCCCATTTGCTACATAACTTTGTTTTCCAAGATGAAGTTTTAGGTCTTAAGGCATCCATGTTTGGATCAACAGGCCTGCTGACTTCTGGCTGATCATAATCGCTTGGATTCCCAATTGACGATCCTCTGGTTCCAATGCTTATTACAGAACTCT